TCAAGGTCAAAGGGTCAACGTTCTTGGTATCTAATAAAAGGTCTTCTCACAAGGATTACATGTATGAAGTATGAAAGCTCTTTCCTTTATCGTTCAAAAGTTATGGCCAAGGTTAAAGTTTTTTTACAGGTAAGGAAATCTACAAGGTCAAGGTCAAAAGGTCAAAGATGTTGGTATCCAGTGACAGGTCTTTTAACAAACATTACATTTGTGAAGTATAAATGTCCTGGTGTTTACTGTTAAAAAGATATGGCCAAAGTAAAATTTTAAAATTTTCTTGTAAAAGTGGGTCAAACTCCAAGGTCAAGGTCAAAAGGTCAAAGTTGGTGGTACCCAAGGAAAGGTCTTGTCTCAAGGAATACACATACATGTATGAAATATGAAAGTCATAGCTCCACTAAATCAAAAGTTATGGGCAAGGTTAAAGTTTTTGCGGACAAACAGACAAACAGAGAGACAGACAGACAAACAGACAGACAGACAGAGAGACAGACAGACACGACAAAAACTATATGCCCCCGAAACTTCGTTTACGGGGCATAAAAAATTATAAATGGAAATATATATGATTTAGTGGATATATAGAGAATGTCACTCTGATAACAAAAGATTTACATGGAGGAAATCTAATCAATTAAAACAGGCAAGGTTAGACTTCATACTTCTTTCCAACTCCCTTTTAAATAGTGTTAAAAATGTGGCATTTTCAGATCAATGAAATAAAGCATGGAAAATGTGTATGGAAATTCAACTACCGGTATTCTCTGATGAAGGAACCTGATTATATTGAATTAATAAACAATCATATTAATGCAGTGAAAAAACAAAACGCTTTTACAATATACCTACTAATTTGTAGGTGAGATGCCAAACTCTGAAATTCATTTGACTCTCAATTATTTCTTTAGACATTATAAATGGAATTAAGATAAAAAACAATATCATTTGAAAGTTACTTGTATATTAAAAACAGAATATACGGAAAGAAAAAGATTAAATCCAGGACATATTCAAACTTGAAGAAGAATATGATTGTGCTATAGAAAATTTATAATTTAAATCTTAGAGAGTCTCTAGAAGAGTATAATGTACCAAAGTTGTATAAACATGAAAGTTCTTTATAAGAAGGAAAAATTACTAATACAGAGGCATTTTAATGTATTAAAACAAATGTTTAATAATAAAACCTCGAGATGTGATGGGTTTACTGCAGATTTGTTTTAAAAAGTATTTTGGAAAAAATTGGGGTCATTTTATTTTTGATCATTAAACTGTGGTTATGAAAATGGAGAACTCTCCTCCACACAAAAACAAGGAATGCTTACATGTATACCCAAAGAGGGCAAAAGTAAATTTCAGCTTAGTAACAATTTCATTGACAAACAGGATTCATACCTGGGAGATATATTGGAGAAAATACACGGCTTATATATGATATGATGAAATATACTGAATTAAAACAAATCTCTAGAATGTTATTGATGAGAGTCTTTGTAAAAGCCTTTTCAATTTTGGTCCATCTTTCGGTAAATGGATAAAGCTATTCAATGTAACTCAAATTCATGTGTGACCAAGGCTGGTTTTTTATCCAACTTTTTCAAATTACGACGCGGCTGTTTACAATGGGACCCAATTTCACTATATATATCTCTCTTATGTGCAGAGATATTATCAATGAAGATTAAAAACAATAAAGACATCAAGGGAATTGAAATAGGAAATTATGAATTTTTAATGTCACAGTATGCTGATGATACAATGATAATCTTGGATAGATAAAAAAATCACTTCAGGCTTTAATGAAGGAAATGATAAAATTTTATAATATGTCAGGACTAAAGATAAATCAGTGAAAAACCAAAGTGGTATGGTAAAATATTTTACTGATAGAATTTGCTCAGAGATGGAATTTATCTGGACAACCAATTTTAATTCTCTTGGAATTTATTATGATGTAGATCTTGCAAAGATGACTAGATTAAATTACGACAAAAAACTTGTTAAAATCAAATCAATTATAGATCAGTAGCAATAGAATAAAAGAAACTTAACACCGGCCGATTGGGAGGATAACTCTAATCAAATCACTTCTTGTATCTCAACTTATCTATCTATTTATTTCCTTACCAACTTCGCAAATCAATTTTTTTCTAAAAAACTTGAGCAATGTAATTTTCAATTTTTTATGGAAATCAAATGTTGATAAAATTAAACAAAATGTTGTAACACAGCAACACAAATATGGTGGCTTAGAAATGATCGATTTTGGCTGTGACATAAAAGCTTTTAGGTCAACATAGATAAGGAGAATTATTAATGACAATAACTCCAAATGGAAAATTTTGCTCGAAAATATAATTGATACTAACAAACTAATAAATACAGGATCAGTATGTTTATCAAACTTTAATATCTGTTTACACAATCAGTTTTGGAAGGATACTTTCAATGCTTTTCAGGAAATCCAAGATAATTCTGAAATTACAGACTAGAATGAATATGTTAACCAACCTTTATGGTTGAATAGAAAATTTAAAATCGGAAACTTCTTTTATAAATTGTGGTATGAAAATGGTATTACTCATGTGTTAGATCTCCTAAATGAACATGTCAATTTTCTACCATCAGAGGATCTACAAAATAAATTTAAAATTAAAAAAAAATTATATACCTTACGATGGTATAAGACAGACAATATTAGCAGACTGAAAGAAATTCAATTTTTACAGAAATGGATTAAGGCAAAGACCAATGATTCCTTTTAATATAAAAATATTTATTTTTACGAAGAAAGGATCAAAACTTATGAATAATATTCTAAAATTAACCAGTTATCAAACCTTCTGGTTAAAATAAGTAGTTAAAATATTTTGAATTAACTGATATTCAAAGGAAATCATTTTATAATCTTCCATTCCTCGTGACACGGGATTGTAAATTACAATGGTTTCAATACAGAGTTAATCATTATATTCTAACTACAAATAGTCTCATGTATAAAATGGGTAAATCCGACACTAAGTATTGTACTTTTTTAAGATGAAGAGGAAACAATTTATCCTTTAATCTGGGACTGTAATGTTGTTCAGCAATTTTAAAAAAAAATCATTCTTTTATGTCAAGCAAAAGACATTGAATTAAATTTCAATTCAAAATCATCTATTTTTGGTGAAAAAGACAAAAATGAAAATTCAGAATTCTTCAACACTATGTTTTCTATTTTCTTTTCTTCTTTCCTTTCTTTTCATATTGTAAGCTTAAAGAAAACTGCATATGTTTTGGGGCACAATATATCAAGATAGAGCTGACCTGCCCCCCTACCACCCTCTCTCTCTCTCTCTCTCTTAATAAACTTTTACACTAATTTTGTTTAAAGTAAGTTTCAATTATAATTAGTCTAGTTTGATTTTGATTGTACATATACCCATACAGAAGTATGTAATGCTTGTAATATGCGTGAAAGTTTCAATAATAAAATAAAATAGACTCACAAACCGAAATTGATACTTTTTTTGAAAATTACTTTAGGTGGCTTGAATATCAACAAATTAACCATCAGATATAATTTATTATTATTTTTTTAGATATGATATCTTAAGATGATAACAAGTATTTAGCAAAGGAATATTTCATAAATTTTTGCTTTAAAATTTGAACATTTTTCTATATCTTTATATGGAACTCATGTTCAAGAGGAGATTAAATAGTCTAAAAATGGCCACAACCACTCAGCCCTTTAAATTGCACAGTGTTTCCAGTCGGGTGAACAATATATTCAGTGACAGAAAATCCGGATGTGTGTGGAGGTGGCCTGGTGGATCCATTCCCATTCCAAAACTTTTTCTTAATATAAATTTTACGTAAGTTCAAGTTAATTTTAAAATATGAAAATATAGTTGTTCCGCCATCAAAATATTCTATTTCTAGATATAAGATTTTAGCATTTCACCTTAAATGCCCGATCCCCCCCCTTCCCCTCACAGAAATGAATATTAAAAATATTTCTTTTTAAGGGCTTTACAAAGATTTTTTTTTACATCAGTTGTAATTTTTTTTAATTTAAATCTTAGACAAATATTATATTATATAATTTGCAATGTCAGATCATAATGTAATTCCTGATTTGTCTAACTGTTTACACCATTACATCTCTGTCAATACCTTTGTATGACAACAAATAATACAATCGATCTGTTCATTTAATTTCACTATTTCAATAAAAAATAAAGCTTTCAATTATTTTAAAAGAAGAATTCTAACGACCCTCGAACAAACAATTCTATAATCAGTATATTTCTGTTTAAAAAATTGCCAACCTAATGTTTTTGTCATACATCTTCATTATATTACTTCCCCAGTCATAAAACTTATTGCTGTAATTTTGACCATAGTATATGATCAAGATTTAAAGATGTAATTGAACGTCATTTAAATTCTTCCTCTTTTTTTATTGTATCATTAAAAGTCAAGCTTACTTCCCTATTATTTTGAAAGGAAGAATTATTAAATCACCTTTGCTTTGAAAATTGAAGATAAGCAGGTTAAAAGTTACATTCATAAATGAAAAAAATTAACTTAAAATTAGAGGAATTTCATTAGAACGGAGAATTAGGAAAAAATGCCCTCATTTTTCAATTGCTCTTTGTGTACGCTATAAATCAAGAACAATGCCGTTCAAAAAGAAACTTAATTTATATCTATTACTTGCAAGCTACCAAATGAATATATGACTAATATATAGGAGAAAATTACGTTTCTACCCTACCTATACATCTGTCTATTAAGCTGTTCGTCTCTCTGTACATCCAACTTTCTGCTTGTCCATCCTACTTAATTTTTTTTACCTAATTTGGTAATGTGGAAATTTTATTGAATTTTATCAGGACAGTACAAGGTAAACATGATTATTTGAAATATTTTCATCTCAGGAGGCCATAATATTTGTGTTTCAAAACCCATTCATATAATTTCTCTGTTAAGTCATTTGTCATTCCTGGAAATTTGGATTACCTTCTTTTATAAAATTAATATATTTCTCATTTTCTTCTTTTGTGTTTGCTAAAATTATTTGCTATAGTTAATTAATAATTATACTTTTGAGAATTCTAAAAAATTATGAAACGTAAAAAGAAGCAGAACACGAAAGCTGTTTTACAGAATTTTTCTACGTTGAAGGAGAATAAGGTTGATTTAATGTTTATTGTTTGAATTCCCATTCGACAATTTTTCACTCATATAGAGACGCCACTATATATATACCAGCGAAGGGTCTCAAATTTTGATCATTGTTTGGAACTCAGGGGTACTAAGCAGTGAGAGGACTTTTTCGTGCCAACGCTTGCCGTGACACGGTGCCTCAGTTTTTAAGGTCTCATACGAAGGACCCACAACTTTCACTTTAGAATGAAAAGCAGGAACAAGCAAGCAAGAAACAGTTGCTACAATGTTTTTTTTAATCAATATAGGTCAGTCCCAGCCGAGATTCGAACTCACGATCGCCGATCATATAATTTGAGCGCTCTACCGACTGAGTCACCTTGAAGGGTTTGAATGAGAATGGGATAAGGCGTTCTACTGACGAGAGTATTATGGAAAGAAGTAATAACTCGGATATCAACATAATTTTTGCAGTAAATATAAATAGTTTTATTATCATGATGAATATTCATTTGCATTTAGCAGTATAGAAAATATGAACCAAGCCTCTTACTATTCTCAACCCACTGCTCTGATTCTATATATGTTACCACTTTCAAAATATAGCGAAAAAGAACTGAATCTAGAGTGTTTTGTTTGACGATATGGCAAATATAAATGATGTGATGATACGAGTTATTTGACTTATGGCATTTGTTTTCATGATAAGTAAAACTATGCAAATGACACAATGCACCATTAGTAACACTATTTCATAATTATTTGAATGGAGACCAAGCAGTTGGCATCCTGAGCGTAATGAATACATCAATGCACATGACATGCATCAAACCAATCAAAGTAACAGTATAATTCTAAAGTACAATAATTCTTTTTTATGCTTGGTAGTCTAATTACAGTTGTAATGTTCTTATGTTTATGTCGATAACTACGTTGTTTTCTCAAGAACATAGTATTGACCGGTACTTTTATTTTGTTTTTCTGCGTCAACTTTCTCATCTCTGTCAACTTTTCCCGAGGAATTTTCGATTTCTGTAGCTTTAAATGACATAAAGCTTTTTTCATCAGTCAATTCCGAGGAGCATGGTTCTGGTATGGAAACACCATTGTCTGCAAAACATGATTCTGGCATGGCAACATTGTTTTGAAGATGAACTCTTCTTAATTTATCTACTTCATACAAATGATTATAAGCATGAGTTTCGTCTCCTGTTGAGAGATGTCCAGTGAAGCTCTGTTGTTCTTTATTCCCAGTTGTATTGGAGCCCGTTGGGAGATTTAGCTAAAAGTTATTTGAAGGTAAATTTAGTGATTTAAAAAGTAAAAAATGTCTATACATGCAGAGAAATTCTGTCTATTTTGGATTTCTGTGAAAACTTATCACCGTAAATATAAATGTAAACAATAGTAGATTGAGGCCATGTTTGATTTTTATAGTGGAGACATATATTCTTGTAGATATATTGTACTGGAATAATTTTATAGTACATTTGTGTATATGGCTTTGGCTAAAACAATAATAAATAGGAAAAGAGCATACCATTTCATCATTAATCTCACAGTATAATGCATTTTTTTCTTTCCTTGGTCTAGATCATTTTGTGTTTGATTATCAACTCCGTGATCATAGGCTGGATTTTGCAGATTATGTAAAAGTCGGTTTCGTCTGTAAAATTATTTCAATAAATAATCGGTGCATTTGATATGCAATATTTAGTATATGTGATTTTTTTCCCGATTTTTCATCATTTTGCATTTCCTCATAAAATAAACTGGCTTGACATAGTTTTGTAATGTTAAGATTGCACTTTAAGCACTAATTAATTCATATATTCTAAAATTTGTTCTCATTTGTAAACCTTATAAGTATGATTTGTTAATAGTTGTTATTTTGTTGAAAAAGTAACTACTATTTTCTAAATCTATTTTATTTTTAGAAAACCAAGGAGAAAAAAATTATCCAAATTTTTAAGCCTTTGAGGTAATATAAGTCTCCTCCAAAGAAAAAAAAAGGTATGTATCATCTTTCCTCAGTTCTGAAATATTCAGTTATATGTTACATTTGGTATCAAGTCAAGATATTAAAGTTCATAAGTTTTTATGTAAAATTAAAAATAATGAAAAAAACCCAAACAAAAACATTTCTATCAGATCAAAAGGAAGCAATAATCTATCTCACACAAACCCAAACGATCTGAAAGTAATTGAGAAAAAACAATACACATTTGAGAACACTGGGGGTCGTAACATAAAGGCTACTTAAGTCTAAGATCGTGCTCAAGTAGGACTTAAGTACACTCTAAAACTAAAGACCTTAACTAGAAGCGTACTTAGATTTGGCAATGTTAGCAAAACTTAGGCGTCCGGGGCTCGTAACATAAATTTTGCTAAGTATTTGAATTAATTTGGGTCGTAAGTACGTTTTAAGCATAATCTTAGGACCTGCCTAAGTACTACTTAAGTACGTTTTAAACCGTAACATAAAGCGAACAAAGCTAAGTCCAAGCTACGTCAAACTTATGTTAGATTATTTCATATGAGTCAACCTATGGTTTTTCATTTCATATAGAAATATTGCTAAATATCATTCAGTTTGGGTTTTAATTAAATACGTATTTAAGTTGACGTCCTTATCTATCGATTTTAGTTATGTAAGATCGGATTTTTTATTAAAATTACAATTCTGTAATAAATTATTCGGAATGTTTGAAAAAAAAATGCTGCACGGTCAGAAGGTGGCGGTTTTGGTTATTTGTCAATGTATGGTTATTGCTTCATTGGGACAAGTTTTATCCCCTGAGATGTTTTCAGTTTACATTTTGTAACTCTTTTGATTTGACAAATGTTCACTTTCCCTGTTATTATTGTAAGAATGACAAGATAATCGACCTTCTCTCTACTTGAAATTAAATTTCTAAAAAAAAAGTCCAATAGATTTGACCCCCCACCCCCGACTCTTATACAAGTATCAGGTCATGCATGTCCGAATAAAAGACTGCAGACGTTTTATAATATACTCATTTGCAATTTCATCAAGGATGCAGAAAAGAATTCAAGGAATATTTTATACCTCAGTCACCTCTACCGGCTGTCTTAGTTTTGCTAGGATTGCTAAATCTTAGTACACTTCTAGATACTGTCTTTCGTCGTTTTAGACTGTACTTAATTCCTATTTAAGCACGGTCTTAGACTTTAACTTTCTTCTACATATATTAAGAGTTATTAAATGTAGATTTTCGATGTTAAAACATTCCTCTATACATATTATGCATTGAAGAAAATAATTACCTCTATTGGACGCTGATTTAAGAATTTTATTTTATTTTTTTATTTTATTTTTTTGGGGGGTGGGGGTTTGGGGGGGGTGGGGGGCTGGGTGGGGAATGATCACTGATTCCAATATCACTTCCAACACAACATACATGTAAATACAAAATTTAATTTTAGGGATACGTCTATATTTAGTGGGACCTTGGTTATAGAAATAAAGTGAATACAATAATAAACAATTGATCGGTATGTTAAATTTGAAAATATGAGTTGAAATAATTTGTTAAAAAAAGAAAAGAAAGAGGATGATGACTAAACCAGTAATAAAAAAGTATCTGTGAAGTAGAATAAATGTAGAAGGATTTAGGCAGTGTTCATTACTGTTGTAGAGAGAGAAAGAGAGAAAGAGAGAGAGAGAGAGAGAGAATTGCTGTTAAGTAGAGACAGTCATGTACGAAAAAATATCCAAATTTTCTTTTTGCATCCTTGATTAAATTGAAAATGAGTATATCTTAAAACTTCTGCAGTTTTTGCTTTTGACACGCATGGCCTGATACATAGCGGGGATTCAAAATGTATTGAACTTTTTAGAGTTTCAATGAAGTCAATAGGCGGTCGATTATCTTTTCTTGTTTGGGAGAATAACATGGAAAGTGAACATTTGTCAAATTAAGAGTTACAAAAAAGTAAACTGAAAACATCTCAGGTGATAAAACAATTGTCGTGAACATTGGCAATTAAGAAAAAATCGCTACTTTCTGACTGTGTGGTATTTGATTTCAAACATTCGGAATAATTTATAACATAATAATTATTTTAATACAAAATCTAATCTTGCATACTTAAACCGATAAGTTAGGACGTCCACCTTAAGAGCAATTCTCCGTAACCACCAAAATATTTTGGCACACATAGTTACAGACTGATTTAAATTTTTATACATTAATTTAATACAGGTGTGTGAGTGATTGTAAAATCTAAAAATAGTTCTTGAATTGTAATTGGTTGCCAAGGAAACGGGATACAAACTTTCTCATTTTTGTAAATCATGAAAATCTGTACTTTTCATGAAAAACCATGTCTAGAAATGAACAGAGATATCTAAATTTGTGTTTATTGTCGTTATCCAATACTAGAGATTCAAACAAGAATATCTGCAGTTCAATTTGAATTTTACACTCGTAAGTGGTCATGTTATGCATTGCAAAATGTCAAAAATATAGTAAATTTTGCTCAGTTTTTTAAGACATAAAACAAAAAAATGCAGCCATCTACAAATTAAGCAGTAATAAAACAAGAAAGGTTGTTATTTGATTATAATTAAACAATTAAAAAATTGGTGGGCAAATGATATGTGTTAAAGAAATTCAAAGGTGAATATCCATTTTTTCTGCATTTTGAAGCGTTTTTGCTTACCTATTACTTCCCTTTGATTACTCTCTCGCGTTTAGAGGTACAATATGTAGGCACTTGTAGTGGTAAATAAATGGTTTGGTGAGAAAACTTATCAAAGCGGGTCAGGGGTGAGGATTGGCAGTGTGGAAGAAAGAAAAAGACCAAGATAAGAAGACAAGAGGTAAATATAAATATTACAAATGCTAAGTACATGTATGTATGCTTTTTTTCTCCATTTAAATGGCTTGCATGAATGTAACCCGAGATTCCTCTGCTATGAAAATTGTGACACATGAAGGGGCCTCTGCCCTGACTCTCCCCGGTACATTTCACTATAAAAAAAATACTTAAAAATACATGTAGATGGCAGAGCATGAAGACATACATCAGGTCAGACACCATCTCCTTATAATTATATAACCAGGTCCAGTACACTCAATTGATTTAGCTAAGTATATACATGTAGATAGCTAGACCTATATTTCAAAGCAACTTTTTACATTTTTTTTTTCTTTTTATTAAAAGAAATAAACAAATCGCAAGTAAATGACTACACGTGTATTAATATTTATACTAGGGAGGTTTTAAAAACAATTTAAAGCAGAGATAACTTGAAATATTTTTTTTTGTCACCTTTAGCGGGTTTGAAAAAATTGTCAAAATGGGATAATTATGAAAGCTGATGTGAAATATATCCTAAATGAAATGCAAATTTTCTGTACCAAAAAGGGGGGGAATTATATTTTTAATTTTTTTTTCTTGCAAATATACAATGCATCCATGGGGAATCAATTCTCTAAAAAGGAAAAATACAGAAAAATTGCCTGCAAAAGTCAATGCTTTCCATATAAATTCATGGACTGAAAAAAAAAATTATAGCCTAATATTTTGCACTGTAAATTTCTATCCCATGCATTCATAGTATTATTGATCAAGTAGTTCTTGACCTGTCCTTTTTTTGTAAGGATAATATATGACGTTCCTTTTGATCATGTTGACAGAAAGATAATTAATAAATATATTGATTTTTATTATAAAATTAGTCAATTTTTATCATGAATTAAGTGATTTTTAACATGATTAGATTATATTCTTATTTTTTGTTTGTTTTCAAAGGATTCACCAAAGAGGATGAAATAGAAAAGGAATATCAGCAAATACACATGTAAATCATGGCGGCTATAACGGAATCCAAATGAAACCTTGGTGTTAATCTTGGAAAAGACAATTTCAGGAATTTGGACAGCTTATAGATGCATCTCTTCAAGGTATCCAGTTTCAAAAATCAAATCTAAATTGTTAGTCAGAAAACACAGCACTACATATACATATGTAGTAATGGTCTGCTTATTTCTCATTTTATTGATCAAAATGGTTTTGAAATCATTATAATACATGTATATGCATGTATCAAGAAAACTTGTTAAACAGTTTAACTTGAACAACTGCCAGAATGATAATTAGAAAAACACATTTCTTGATTTAGTATTAATTCAGTTTTGATATTTGTCTTCATTTAAAGATATTGAACATGTTGAAAAATGTTTTTTACTTCTGCAGGTAGAAAAAAGTCATCTTAAATAAAAGACTGGAGATGCAACATCATGAAGTTTATAATGAAATCGGTAACCTGCAAAGCTGAATATTAAAAAATCCCCAAACAACGGCGAAGCCTTCAAGATATGGCATTGAATTTTTTCCTTAGAAAGTACCAAGGTGTCCGTTACTAATAATTTAGTTTCCCAAACAGGGAGCAATGTAGCTGGCTTGTCAGAGTGATTTTCCTGAAGATGAAATTGGAAATGAGAATATTCATGTGTGTCTCCATGCTGGAAATTCAGAAGATTCAACCATATTTCTAATCGACTCAGTGAGGTCATTATTTAAGGAAGTTCTTAACAGCACTCTAAAGAGCTCTACTTGAAGGAGTAGTTGTATGCAGTAAGAGTGATTTGCCCTTGGAAGTCGGATAGAAAAAAAAATGATTGCTTTATACCATTTATTTCACAATTATTAAAATATTTTTACTAGCATTATCTTAGACAAAGAATAAGTAATTGAATTAATATTCAAATTTATTTCCCCAAAAGTCAACAACAGTGTTTTCTGTTCATGAATAATTCATAACATTTTTCGAGTAGAAATAATGCAGGTACTTGTTGAAAATGAACTAATTGTCTCAATGTGCATACCTTTATATGATAATTTTTTCCTTAATAGAAAGTCTGTAGATCACTTCTTGATACACATGTATTGTTCAGAGCTTCTTTAAATTGCATATGATATGGTTTGCTAATTAAATACATTGTAGCTGATAATTTTGATGGAGGTTCGAAAAAAATTTCACACGCCAACAATACTTGTCCTAATTGTAATACTTTATAGCCTTTTGTGCTATCATATGTAGCAAGTAAATTTTTAATTACTTTGTGTTTTGGATTGCAGTATTTTGTTTCATGTTCATATTTTATAAAAACATGTAATTTCGAAATTATGATGCAGCCTTATTAACTGCAGTAATGAGTAATAGAAGACTGTTTTTGTATTGTGCTAGAAATTGGGTGGGGGTCTATATTTAAGATCATATTCTCACCTATAGATATGAATAAATATTCTTTTATGGGTCAGCTAACAATATCTCATTGATTTTCCAGATGTTAAGCTTAAATTCATTGAAATTTTTCTTTAAAAAGAACAAATATATCTTGTTATATGAAATGTTCATAGAAGCTGTTTTTTTTTTTGTTTTTTTTTTTTTTTTTGGCGAAATGCCAATTTTATGATTTTTCATTTTGTTATAGTCAATATTTGTTGTTATTTGCCCATAAATGTTTTTGAATATTTTCATTACTTGTGACAAGTACCTTCAGATGAAATAAGTGATACATTGTGAAAGTTCTGCTAATTGTTTTATTTTTCTTCCCAAAATGTTGTTATTTTTCAGTTTTGACTAAATTTGGAAAAGTTGATATTTTGCCATTGTTTGACAAAGTATCTGCAGTCTTTTCTTATGACATGCAAGGCCTGATACATGGGGTGATACAAAATAAATGTACTGGACTTTTAAGAGTTTCAATTTCAAGTAGATAGACGGTCGGTTATCTTGTCTTTTCTGCGATAATAATATCATCAAAACAAAAGATTTACAGTATGTAAGCTGAAAACATCTCGGGTGATAAAACGGGTCCCGATAAAGCAATAATCATACATTTACAATGAATCTAAAATCGCCACTTTATGATCGTGCAGCATTTGTTTTCAAACATTCCGAATAATTTATAACAGAATTATAATTTTAATAATTGATGATTAATAATTTATAACGAAATCTTACCTAACTTAAATCGATCGGTAAGGCGCCAGTTTACATATGTATTTAATTAAAACCCTAACTGAATGGCATTTAGCAATTATATATATATATATATATATATATATATATATATATATATATATATATATATATATATATATATATATATATAATGAAAGAAAACCATAGTTTGACTCATTTGAAATATTTTAAACATAAGTTTGACTTAGCTAAGACCTCGCTAAGTTCGTTTTATGTTACGGTTTCAAAACATACTTAAGTAGTACTTAGACAGGTCATTAGATTATGCTTAAAACTTACTTACAACCCTACATAAGTCAAAAACTTAGCAAGCTTTATACTACACGCCCTGATCACTAATTCCAGTATTACTTGAGAGAGAGAGAGAGAGAGAGAGAGAGAGAGAGAGAGAGAGAGAGAGCTGTTGAGAAAGAAGTGGAGACATACGATCTGCAGTCTTTTCTTTTGACATGCATGGCCTGATACATGGGGGGGGGATACAAAATAAATGTATTGGACTTTTTAGAGTTTCAATTTCAAGTAGGTCGACGGTCGGTTATCTTGTCTTTTCTGCGATAATAATATCATCAAAACAAAAGAGTTACAAAATGTAAATTGAAAACATCTCAGGTGATAAAACGGGTCCCGATAAAACAATAATCATACATTTACAATGAACCACAAATCGCCTCTTTCTGAACGTGCGGGATTTGTTTTCATACATTCCGAATAATTTATAACAGAATTATAATTGTAATAATTGATGATTAATAATTTTATAACGAAATCTTACCTAACTTAAATCGATAAGTAAGGCCGCCAATTTACATACCTGGGGTATGTATTTAATTAAAAACCCTAACTGAATGGCATTAAGCAATATAACTATATAAAATGAAAAACCATAGGTTGACTCATTTGAAATATTTTTAACATGTTTGACTTAGCTATGACCTCGCTAAGTTCGCTTTATGTTACGGTTTAAGACGTACTTAAGTAGTAATTAGACAGGTCATAAGATTATGCTTAAAACGTACTTAGGACACTACTCAAGTAAAAAACTTAGCAAGCTTTATGTTACGAGCCCCTGGTCTAAAACACGATTACTGGAAGTTCCAAAAGAGAGATGATATTAACTCTGTGTAAACGTTTGATTGCAAACTGTACCTGTATAAATAAATCTATAAATCTACATGCAAGTTCTTCTAGAATACAATCATAATGATCAAACGTACCGAAAATAAAACGATACTCTCCGCTGCAAATTAAAATTGTTTATGTACTATTTCTATTTTTTTTTTTTCATTTTTTTTTCAATGCACACTAACATTACGCATGCCTTAAACATTCACTTAATTCTGAAAATGTTATCAAGTCTTCCTTTTCATACTTAACGAAAAACATAAAAATGGAATAATTTTTATCGACAAAATGCATGAAGAAATAAAGGTCACTCGCCCATCATAATAAAAAAGGCTTACTGTATTTTGCTTCAAATTAAGTTTACTACTTTTACATTTTCATTCATTTGCCAGTGAAAAGTGGGAAAGTGGTTATTTAAGCGCGTTGGTTCTAAAGTTGCAGAATAAGATTTGATAAAAATGTCATCGTAATATTGATAGAATTGATCAGCTAATTATATAATAAGCTTTTTTTTCCAAAAGAAAAATATTTTTTTTAATCTAATCTACTATATTTCTACTTATTTGAGTTGTAAATCTTTTAAGCACATATTTTATTGCTCAGCGCATTTATCTATATACTAGTTTTGCAAAGGAAAAAAAAGGGAAAAATTAATAAATAATTTACAGTGCACTTAATTAAGTATTCACTGTGAGGAATATATGAATGCATATATAGAAAATACTGGTTCTAGTCTGCCTTTTATATATGTGCAACAGAAATAGAATTTAGTTTAAGATTTTTAGCTCTCGTTCCTTTTCACTTTTCTTTCGTTTTAGTTTCCCATTTTGTAAGTAATAAAAGGCTTGTAATATGTGACTTAAAATTACCTTTTCTGTTTTCTTTGTTTACTTCTCAGAACACAGAGGAAAATAAAGTTTGTGATGAGTGATCCAAATAAAGTGCCACCAATTACAGATCCGACAAAGGTTTCAGGTGAGAAATAACCTCGATAAGGATAAACATCGGTAACTGTGTTATAAAATTATATTCTTATTTGTTTTGTTTTAGGACAGTTATATAATTTCTTCATATTGATTCAAACGACAGTGTATTTAAATATTTATAAAATACCGTTTTCTCTTTCAGTCAATGTATGATTCCAACATCCGTCCTGATCTGTAAAAACATAATATTTTAACATGGCAACTATATATACTCGTACAAAGACACCACATACCTACAGCATGCCTTTTTTCCTTCATTCAAAATGTAAAAGTGAGCGGCAAGAGGTATTCCCATGCTGTATAGAAATAACATAATAATGGATTAAAATGAAAATTTAAGGAGAAATAATTGTGAAAAATTAAATTTGTAATTGGAATTATAAGAATCAAACGTTCTTTTTCAGAATTTATATCAATTTGTAAGACCACAGAACATTAACTGGCAAGATTGGAAATATACAGCTTACGACATTTCGATTTGTTTCAATCAAAACATTCAATGATAGACAACGCAATGGGCGGGTACAAATTGACGCAGAAGGCCGAGAAAACATTGGATTGAAATTCTAGTTTGAAATTCATTTTCAATCCACCTGAGCTGTTTTCAAAAGCAAAATGTGAATGTATGATCCAAAAACAAATATATTCATTTCCCAAATAAATATTGGTTGAAACTTATATTGAAATGAGTTCTTAGCCTATAATCTTAAGGACACTTGTACATACCGGGTATGTAAAAGTCACAGAAAACATTTTTTTTTTCAGGAGACGGTCATTTGATTCTAGAAAGGGGGCTGTCAAAATTGTAGAGTCAGCTCATGCTTTGTACCAATTTATTTTTAGGTTGACAAGAGCTTTTATAGTTTTGTCTTCAGTAAAAGATGTCTGACAACTTATCTATTTCCAAGACCATTAAACTCATCCCCCCAACATACAAAGATTATACAAAAAAAATATTTGTCCCTTCATATAGTTCTTTAAAACGCGTGACAGAAAAATATGATTTATATATTATTTGCAAATTATACTGAAATTGAAATTACTTGTCTTCTAGGTCAATCAGTAATAATGTGCCTTCTGTAGCGTAGCTGAGATGGATTAAAAATGAAATTCAAACTAGAATTTCAATCCAATGTTTTCTCGGCCTTCCCCGTCGAATTGTTCAGGCCCATCTCATTGTCTTTCATTGAATGTTTTAATTGTAACAGATAGAAATGACGTAAGCTGCATATTTCCAACCTTGCCAGTTAATGTTCCTTGTTCTTAAACCCATGCTGTTGTAGTTACAAACTTACAGACCCTAACCGTGCTACTACACACTCGAACGTTACGGTTCGGTACGCTTTGTGCACGAAACAGTACGCTTTATGAACGGAACGGTTCGTTTTGTGAACGGTACGGGTACGCTTTGTGCATGGAACGGTTCGCTTTGTGAACGGTACGGTAAGCTTTGTGCATGGAACGGTTTGGTTCGTTTCTGAGGTGTAGTAGCATGGTTTAGGGTCTGTAAAATAACTGTGCTTCAAATTTTTATTCAGATAGTGAGTACAATTTTAGATACTATTTACTTATAGAAACCAAATATTTCTGTATATTAAACAAACAAAAAACTAAAATTTTCTTCAAAAAAATGAAATAACAATTTATTGTACCTCCTACGTCCACATACGTACAGTTATTGCATACAGCTGAATCCAGTAATGTTGTACAATCTACAAAATCAAATTGAAATTTTAAAAGCAACTTGGCCGGGAATAAAGTATTTGTTGAATGAACATTTGTTAACATATTTACTCACTAGTACATCGAAACCGGCCATCTGTTACATGTGCAAAGTAAATATTTACAGAGGGCTAAGAGGATCACTGGAAATATCCCACCTGTTCATAATTTAAAAAAAGTTATTTGAATATATTTATTAATTTCATATAAAAGAGTGAATCATTATCACTTTCAGTTACAAATTGTGAGTTGCTTTTACAAATTAGCTTTACTAACTGTCCAGAGATTTAAATATTGTAATGTCATAAAAAGCAGAATATAAACAATAAACAATTGACACATATATCCAAGTCCTCAGGCTGTTGCTTGTTTCACGCTTGTAAAATTCAGAACACCCTGCGTATGTTATAATATGAAAACGTTCCCAGTATCTCAGGACATATTTGCATTGACATGGAAATGTCGTTCATGGAAATTATAATTGTATCCTATACCCAAACAAATTCATTAGTTTTCGGGTCATCTGTACAATTTGTGACGAAAAAATCTCTTTTAAAATCATATTTAAAGAGAATTCTTTTTAATTTTTTTTCATACTTAGCGTTGACTATTTATAAATTGATCATTTTATTTTACTGCTTTTGTAATTCATCATCCTAGTGAACATTTTCGGAATCGCGTACACCTGACACCGTACTGCGGACTGCGGACTTTCGAACAAAAGACCGCTTTCAGGGAACGTATAGAAATACGTTTTCAGTCTTTCTTAACTTTACTGTACATTCTTTCATTTTTCTGGGATTGTTTTCATGCATGTGACACAATTTAAACATGGAAACAGATTTAAAAGAAAAATTATAATTATAAGCTTAATTTGTGTTTATTGAGTAAATAAATTTTATTTGACATTAAAGAATATTGTTGAGCATCATTTTGATGACCAAGGAAGCCGCTTTCTATGTGACGTATCAATCCAGAGTTGTCAATTATGACCTGTGCATGTAATGCATGATATTTCCTG